ATAATGGATAGATCATTCAGAGAATCAATAAGGAAACAGAAGATTTGAACAACACTATAGACCAAAGAAACCTGAGACATACACAGAAAATTACATCCAATGGCAGAATACACATTCTTCCCAAGTGCACACAGAAAAGTTTCTAGGCTAGACCATATACTAGGCCACAAAAATAGTCTCAACAAACTCAAGAAATTTCATCAAGTATCTTTACAGACCACAATAGTGAAACTAGAATCAATAATAAAAAGGAAAGCTGGAAAATTCACAAATACGTGGAAATTAAACAACACACTCCTGAAACAACCAATGGACCAAAGAAAAGATCAAAAGAAAAATAAGAAAATATCTTAAAACAAATGAAAGCAGAAACACAACATACCAAAACTTATGAGATGCAGCAAAAACAGTTATAATAATGTTTATAGCTATAAATGTATACACCATGAAAAAGAAATATCTCAAATAAGCAATCAATTTACAACTCAAGGAACTAGAGTATGAAGAAAAAACTAAGCTCAAAGTTAGCAGAAGGAAATAATAAATATTACAGCAGAAATAAATCAAATAGAGAACAGGAAAACAATAGAAGAGATTAACAAAATGAGTTGGTTCTTTGAAAAGATAAAAAAAATTAACAAACATTTAGCTACACTAACCAAGAAAAAGTGAGAGTTCTCAAAAATTATAAATGACAGAGGAGATATTACAACATATACCACAGAAATAGAAAGGATCAAAAGAGACTACTATAAATAATTATACACCAACAAATTGGACAATCTAGAAGAAATAGATTAATTCCTAGAACCATACAAACTACCAAAACTAAATCATGAAGAAACAGAATATCTAAACAGATCAGTAACAAGTAAAGAGATAGAAGCAATAATAAAAAAATTCCCAACAGAGAAAAGCCCAGGACCAGATGGGTCTCACTGACAAATTATACCAAACATTTAAAAAGAGTTAACACTAATCCTTCTCAAAAATTTCCCAACAATTGACGAGGCAGGAATGCTCCCAAACCTATTTTATGAAGCCAACATTATCCTGATACCAAAGTCAGGTAAGGACACTATCAGAAAAGTAAACTAAAGATCAGTATATCCAATGAACATGCTAGGAGATGCAATGTTTCTCAACAAAATACTAGCAAACCAAATTGAACAGCACATTAAAAGGATTATACACCATGATTAAGTGGGCTTCATCCCTGAGATGGAAGGATGGGTCAACCTCTTTGCATCTCAGGGATAGGTCAACATTTGCAAATGATGGGTCAACATTTGCAAATCAATAAGTGTGATACATCACATTAATATCTGAAAGATAAAAATCATAAAATTATTCAATAGAAGTAGAAAAAGCATTTGACAAAATTCAACATTCATTCATAATTAAAAAAAACTCTCAACAAACTGAGTATAGAAGGATCATATCTCAACATAGTAAAGGCCATATATGCAAATCCATAGCTAATATCATACTCAATGATGAAAGGTTGAAAACTTTTTCTCTAAGATCAGGAACAAGACAAGGATACCTACCTACTCTCACCACTCCTATTCAAGACACTACAGAAGTCCTAGCCACAGCAATCAGGCAAGAAAAACAAATAAAAGGCATCCAAATCAGAATGGAAGACATACAATTGTCTCTGCTTGCAGATGACATGATCTTACATATTTAAAAAACCCTAAAAACTCTACCAAAAAACTATTACAATTAATAAATGAATTCGTAAATTTGCAGGATACAAAATCAACACAATGAAATAAGTCAGTTATATTTCTATCAACTCACAATGAACTATCTGAAAAAGAAATAAAGAAAATAGTGCCATTCACAATAGCATCAAAAATAAGAAAATACTTGGGAATAAATTTAGCCAAGCAAGTGAAAAATATGTACACTAAAGATTATAAGACATTGATGATTGAAGAAAACACAAATAGAAAGATATTCCATGTTCACATATAAGAAGAATTAATATTGTTAAAATATTAGTCCATATTACCCAAAGTAGAGATTCAATGCAATCCCTATCAAAATTCCAATGGCATTTTTTACAGAAATAGAGAAAATAATCCAAAACTTTATATGGAACCACAAAAGACCCTGCTGACAAAGGAGCCAAGAATACTCAATGGGAAAAGACAGTCTCTTTGATTAATAGTGTTAGGAAAACCAGATATTCACATGCAAAAGAATAAAACTGGACCACTTATCTTATATCACTCACAAAATTAGTTCTTAATGGAAAGACTTAAGTGTAATACCTGAAACCATGAAACTCCTAGAAGGAAACAGCGAAAAAAGCTCCTTAACACTGGTCTTGGCAAAGATTTTTTAGATATGAGACCCAAAGCACAAGCAACAAAAGCAAAAATAAACAAGTGGAACTACATCAAACTAAAAAGTTTCTACACAGCAAAAGAAACAATCAACAAAAATGAAAAGGCAACCTATGGAATGTGAGAAATATTTGCAAATCATATATCTGATAAAGGTTTAATATCCAAAATATACAAGGAACTCATACATCTCAATAGCAAAAAAATAGCAATAGACATTTTTCTACCGAAGACATACAAATGCCAACAGGCATATGAAAAGGTGCTCAATATCTTAGTCATCAGGAAAATGCAAATCAAAACCACCATGAGATATCACCTCATACCTGTTAGAATAGCTAATACCAAAAAACAAGAGATAAGTGCTGGTAGGATGTTATAAAAAGGGAACCCTAGTGCACTGCTGGTGGGAATATAAATTGGTACAGCCATTATGGGAAATAGTATGGCAGTTCCTCCAAATTTTAAAAAATAGAACTACCCTATGATCCAGCAATTATACTTCTGGGTAAATATCCAAAGGAAATGAATTCACTGTGTTGAAGAGATATCTGCACCCTCATACTCACTGCAGTATTATTCACAACAGCCAAGACATGGAAACAACGTAAGTGTGTATGTATGGGTGAACAAAGAAAACGTAGCATACATAAAAAATGGAATAATATTCACCCATAAACAGAGCAGGAAATCCTGCCATTTATAACAACATGGACGGACCTTGATAGCATTATGTTAAGTGACATAAGTCAAAGACACATACTGTATGATCTCATCTATATGTGGACTATCATCAACAAATCAACAAACGACAAGTGCTGGAGAGGATGTGGAGAAAAAGGAACACTCGTGCACTGCTGGTGGGAATGCAGACTGGTGCAGCCACTATGGAAGACAGTATGGAGTTTCCTCAAAAAACTAAAAATGGAACTCCCATTTG